CTCTGGCCCTGTTCACTCTAATGCCCACCTACCCCTGGAAAAAAATAATCAACCAAATAACTCCATGCTGTAGGTGCTTCTCATTTGCCTGTACTCTGCATGCCCCGAAATCTTGGACACTAAATCCCCCCCAAAGTTGATGAACCACTGCTTGCCGAACAAGATAAAGGCATGAATAATGCAATCTTGGCTTCCTAGGTCTTCACGCAGCACAGTAGGGTTTTTGTTTGGTTGTGTTTTTTTAAAAAAGGGGTTTTTTAAAGCTTGCACCCAGAGAGGTCACTTCAGTGATGCTAACACAGTGGTTTGACTTCAGCCCCAGAGGCACACTCCATTGTCTCCTGAGACAGACAGATGCCAACAACAATTGTATTCGAAGTGTGTCCACACCATAGACATATGATACTGACAGGTTTGTTTTCAATTCCTTTCCTAAGGATCTTCAGTATGGAGTCAGCCCTTTCATGGTTGTGCAACCTGGGTGCTTGGCACTCTGCAGGTACAGAGGTCCCAGGTGAAGCTGGTAGTGTTTCCGGTTGAAGGATCTCAGGTGGAAAGGATGGCAAAGACCTTCTGCCTGAGACCTTGGAGAGCTGCTGTCAGTCCAGGCAGGCCACTGGCCTAGGCTGACCCATGGCCAGGAGGCCTCCAAAGAAACAGATCTAGGCCTGGCATCCTCTGCGTAGGTTGCGGCTGTTGCTGATGCAAGGCAAAATGAGAAACAAGGTGTTGTTCAACGCACCTGTAAAGCACCTGCCTTCCTCCAAAGAATTCTGGGACCTGTCGTTTCCCTCTCGTTAAGGGTAAAATTCCATCATGATTAACAAACTACTGTTCCCAGAACAGTTGTGGACCACAGGTATGAAGTTTACGGCATGTAATGCCCTAAGAGAGCATATTATGAAAATGATATACAGGTGGTACATAACCCCAGTCAAGCTTGCAAAAATCTACCATCTGCCCGATAACAAATGTTGGAAATGTAAAGCTGAAGGTACATTCTTTTCACCTTTGGTGGACGTGCCCAAGTTAAGGTTTCTGGAGATGATTTATAATGAACTAAAAAAGGTGTTAAGCTGCCTTCTTGAAGAAACCAGAGGCCTTTCTCCTGAACTAGTCGGCCAATCCAGTGTTAAAGAAGGACAGACTTCTTTATGTATGCTACAACAGCAGCAAGAATACTTATTGCAAAGCATTGGAAGACACAATATCTACCCACACACTGGAGGAATGGCAGATGAAAATGATGGACTATGAATTGGCGAAATGACTGGCAGAATCCGAGACCAGGGAAGAAAGTCAGTGGAACAAAGGTGGAAGAAATTTAAGACTACTTACAGAAATATTGTAAAATTAATAGATGTTAGAATAGTAGCCAGTTGAATATAAAGCGGTTTCTAGCGGTAATGGTATAAAAATATGGAAAATTGGTTTTTAAGATGTAAAAATTTAATGTTATAATATATCAAGATTAAAGATCAGGATTAAAAAGGAGGAAAGGAATCGCTGGACTAACAAATTGAATTGGAATACAAGGAGGTATGAGGGAGGTCGGAAACAAGTAAATGTAAAAGAAGTGATGAAAAGATGGAATTGTTTTTAACTTTTTTTTCTTTTTTGTATTTTGTATTTTTCCTTTTTATTGTTAATTTTCTTATTAATGTAATCTTTTTCTTTTGAAATTTTAATAAATATCATTTAAAAAAACAAAAAACAACAACAAACTACTGTTCCCAGGATTATTTGGGGGGAAGATGTGTGCTGTAAATGTGCATTGCATGCACTTGGATTGTATGGCGTGGACCGTCGTAATACAAACCAGGGGGTTATTTCCCCCACCCCAGCATAAAAGGTCTGCTCTCACAAGGAGGACTTTAAACATTTATTTTAGCTGGGCATTGTTAACATGAAAGTGGTGGGTGGGCTGCAACAGCTTCTGGGGGGCAATCTTAAGTCACAGGCTCCCCCTTCTTCTTGAGATGGGTATTGCTTTAACCTATGTGTTAAGCCTCTGCTGTGTTTTGGGGCCCCTCAGACTCAGTCCACCCCTAGAGTTCTGCCCCCAAAGTCCTGTCCTGACAGCACCTCTGCCTGGCCGTCTACATTGCAGGGGCAGCAGATCTGTGGTCCTCCCCTTCGAACAAGGCTCTCCTTCCTGCACCTCCCTGTCCTGCCGCCAGCTTTGCCTCCTCACCTGCGCGTCTCTCTCGCCCCGGAGTCCGCGCACCGCCGTCGCCCCTGCGTCTGTCCAGAATGCCGATCGTCCCGTCGGAGCCGGACGGGGAGGGAGGGGCCGGGGGCGGGGCCGAACGCCTCATTTGCACGACCCTCCCGGCCTCTATATAAAAGCGCCCACAGCCCTCTCTGCGCTCACCTTAGACGGCGCCGCTTAGACGGTAAGTCTCCCGCGCAGCTCTGCTCACGGCCGCGCAGAAGGGGGCGCTCGCCGCGTAGCGCCTTTGCTTTTGCCCGACGGGACGGGCACAAGCAGAGAGGAGGAGATGGAAAGACCCCGCAAGTCTCTCCTCTGCGCCGCCACCTCCAGGGTCCCTAGACTGAGCCTCCACAGGAGACTTCTAATCAGAGGTTGGATGGACACCTGTCATCTGGGCACATGCTGCGTCCCAGAAAGGAATCTTTCCCTGTGCAGGATTCCTCGGTCGAAAGCAGAGGGAGAGACACAAACAGGCTCTTTCTTTAGCCAAACGCAGCGTGACGGCGGGAGGAACATCTTCCCACGGGCAGCTGTCCATTTATTTATTACTGAAAACTTTTTAATTTCTTGTCACACAGGGGTCTCCAAGTGACTGACATCGTGATATACAGTATGCCATAGAATCGTACGATACATTAATATTCCATACGACATACTGGGAAAACAAAGATAACACAGTCCACCCCTAAATTAATAAAAAAAATTAGAAAAATACTCAAACAATAAACAAAGCTATAGTCCCATCCACTAACTAGCGGAGAAACATACAAACTCAACCCTGGCAACCCCCTTCTTAGCACCCCCCTCCAAAAAACCCCCCACCAATTCCTATCCAACTGTTGAGTCCCTTCCCCTCTCCAGAAGTCTGCACGCAGTGTAACAAGGTGTTGATTTGCAACATTTGCATCAGGGGACCCAAGAAAAGGACGCAGCTGGAGGACCACATTTCTGGTACTTTTAAAAGGCACAGAAGCTGCTGTGAATCCGCGGTTGGTGGGCCCGGGGGTGGCCCCGCATTTCGCCTCCCTTCAGAGGCAGCAAAGGCAGAGCAGGAAGACAGTCCCAGTTCCACGGGCTCCGCTGTTGTCTCGGCTCCTCCGCCTCTCCTGCTGCTGCTGCTGGCGGCAAGAGGTGCGGAAAACGGAGGGGCCTGCCTGGGAATTTATCCTCCATGGCCACTGCTATTATCATCATTGCCATCAAGTCTCACTTTACAACTTTGTCCTTGATATGCCTGCCAACTAAGATATTCTGCATTTGGAGTGAGCCTGAGTCCAGGAAAGCATGGGCCACAACACATATGATTGCCTTTTTCAGTTTTATACATTTCAATAATTTTACAATCTTTTTAACATTTCAAAACTCAACTTCCTCCCTCCCCTCTTTCTGCGGTTCCTTAAATTTATTTTTAATATTCTGTGCATATCCAAATTAACTTAATATGCTCAATTATTCATCTACTTTAAATGTATACACTTTTGAAACTGCGGGTTATTACAATAATCCTGCCAATGTTCTTACCTATTTACAGTTTGTTTGTAAATATTCCATAAACCATTTCCATTCTTTTATAAAAAGCATGTTACCTTGATTTCTTATTTTTCCCATAAGTTTCGCCATTTCTGCATCTTCCATAAGTTTTTGTATCCATTCTTCTTTAGCTGGGACTTCTTCTTCTTTCCATTTTTGGGCAAGTAACAGTTTTGCCGCTGTAGTCGCATACATGAATAAATTTCTATACACTTCGGGTAGTTCTGCCCCTATAATCCCCAAAGGAAGGCTTCTGTTTGTTTTTTACAAACTTTATTTTTAACCCTTGAAAGTTTTCAAACAGATGGAAGTGCAGGTTTGTGATGGGTAGGTGGGAATGGCCCAGTTGCATAGAAGCAGGGGTGCCAACTTGAATAAAATATTGGGGGGGGGGTGTAAGGTAAGCCCTGCCCCGCATAATCGACGATCACATGGCATGGTGCACACACCCCATTTGAATGGCAATGCCCATCAACTTTGGGAGACCTCAACCCCTAGGAACTGGCTCCCAGGCATGGATCCCCACAACCCTGCCAGTGTTCAAGCAATGGCCATCATTTGATTGACCCTGACACGCACACGTGGTTATACTCGGAAGTAAGCCTCGCTGGATTCAATGGGACTTGACTAGAGGAAGGTGTCTGGGTGAGGCCTCCTGCCCAGAACTGAGGAAGCCGCTTTGCTCGGCCAGTGCACCAGGGCATCTTCTTTCGTCTGGGTTCTGCCTCGCTGGCATTTGTAGGGAAAGCTCTCCTGGCTTATTTGACGGCAGCTTTTACCACATCCTCCCGTCTCCTAGGGCTACTCAGTCGCTCTGCACTCTGTAGGTGCTCAGAGATACTGCCTTTCTGTTATTTCAGGTGGTTCAGGATTGACCCTGGCGTTCCAAATAGGTCTGGGAGCAGGTGGGCTCGGATCAAACCCTAATCCCTTGGATCCGTGCTTGCCCCGATTCCTCCTTCTTTTCTGCCCCCAAACCGTCCCGGGGGCAGCCAAGTGTCCCGCTGGGCCGCAAAATCGTGATAAGGCAGTTCCAGGGCGACCCCTCCCTGGGCGAGCGCTGCTAAAGTGACGCTGCCCCCGCGTCAGTCCCCGCCCCGACGGCTGGGCTATTTAAACAGCAGGACCCCACGCGGGGCGAAGACCAGGAAAGAGGCTTGGAGGAGAGGAGCCATCTAGTGGTCAGAGGAGGCGAGACAAGGGCGTCGCGTCCGCCCGTCGGTCCGTCGAAGTCCGCTTGCTGCCCAGAAAGAGAGCCATGGCGGCGGCAGGATTCGCTAGCAGGATCCTACAAGTGGGGAGCTTGGCTTATCTGCTCCTTTTCGCCACCTTTTCCGTCTCGCCCTCGCTCGGCGGACCCATCCGGCTCCGGGAAAACCTCTGGGCTACAGGTAGGACCCCTGCGTCTCCCTGCGGCGCTGGAGGGGGCGGTCTACCAAGGGGGCAGCTTCCCAACGCAGACGGTGGGAAATGCTTGCTTGTTAATAAAGATCCTGGCAGGAAAAAGGCTGCGTGTGTGTGTGGAGAGGGTGGGGGTGGGGGGGACAACGAAGGACTGGAGCAGAGGCTGCAAAATTGTGCTCCTTACCTGGCTCCGTCTTTTAGACGACATCTGAAGGCAGCCCTGTATCGGGAAGCTTTTAATGTTTAATATTTTCGTATGTTTCGTGTGTAATGATAATAAAGTTATGGGGCGGGCTTGGGGTGGGTGGGTAGAATCTGTGCTGCGAGATCAGTTATGTGCCCAGTTCAGTGGCGTAGCGTGGGTTGTCAGCACCCGGGGCAAGGCAAGTAATTTGCGCCCGCTAACCATAACCCCCAGATGTTGCGCCCGGTGCGGCCAGCCCCCCCTGCACCCCCCACGCTACGCCACTGGCCCAGTTCCTTCCATCATCGAGGGCACATTTGGATTCTCTCTGTCTGAAACATCTGGAGGGCAGTAGGTTGGGGAAGGGTCGTCTAAAGGATCTGTGGAAATGGGGGTGGGATGAGGTGAGCCTGGGGGCACTTCCTACCACCACGAAGCTGGTAGGTCACTCTGTGGGGCGAGAGAAGGAAAATTGTATGGGATTTGGTTAAGCAGTGCCCTGCAGCCCTGTGATTCTGTGGCTGAAAGTTACAGTGGCGGTGGTGATTTTTGTGCTGCATTTTAACACCTTATCCTTTAACTAAATGGCAGATCAATACTGTTTTGCTTTGTTTTTAAGACTTTAATGCAGCGCTGGGTTTGATTTGGGTGTGGGGTTGTTTGGAAAGCCATGCACAGAGGGTCAGAAAACAATGCTTTCAGCAGCAGGAGAGGGGACAGCTCCCCGTGTCATGAGGTTGAAAATCCAGTCTCTGTCTAGGATGGTCAAATTAACAGAGCAGCAATTATTGCACCACTGGTGATGCTTGGAACTTTATTAATTTGTTTATTAATCACCTTCCACACATACGTCCCAAGGGGATGCCCCCAAAAAATGCAACGAGAACAGCTAAAAACAGTTTAAAACAATGCAGGAAATAGCAGATCAATTGTAAAAAGTATTGTGAAGTAAATATCCATGGCACAGACCTGTTTGTCCAGCTGTTGGAACAAAAATGTCTTCCATTGTTTCTGGAAAGTGCAGGTATTGGGTGCCTGCTGTGCCTGTTACACAGACTAACGGCAGCCACACTGACTGCCCTGTTCTGCATTTTATTTTGATTTGATTTGATTTATATGCCACCCTATATCTGCAGGTCTCAGGGCAGTATCCTACCAAGCAGGATACAAACCACTCTGGAACTTGTAGGAGAAGCTCTGCCACAGACGGCAGCAATCTGCTGCATATATAAGGGATAATGCAGTCCCTCAAGTAACCTGGTCCTGAGCTGCAGAGGGTCTTACAAGCTAGTACCAAGCCTTGAACTTGGCCTCGTAGCAGGTGTGCAGCCGGTGCAAATCCCACAAAGCGTTACAAGATGGCTACAGGAATCCAATCTCCAGGTTACCAGTGCATGGACAACTGTGGTCTAGCTGTCCTGATCCAGAAACAATCATAGCTGTCTTACAAGCCAAAGTTGGGGGAAAGTGCTTTAGCCACCAAGGGCACCTGCGCTTCCAGTGGCAGCTGAATCCAGGCACAGCACCAGTGCTTCAGGGACAGCAACTCAACCCAAGGCAGACTTCCTGGGTCTGGAAACCACTTTTCTAGAGACTCCAGCCTGTCAGGATGCAGACTTTATTATTCCTCACCAGGAATAATATTATTCACTGCACGCCAACATTGGTCCTGCACCTGCTCAGCCGTTCCCAGTTCAGATATTACTGAGAAATAGGAGTTGGGTATCATCAATGTACTGATGACGTCTTGCTCCAGATCTCCTCCTCTCTGCTCCTGATGGCTTCAAGTCAATGTCAAATAGCATCTGAGACAGTATAGTGCCTTATGACACCCCGTAGTTTCTCTTGCAGGGCTGCCATGGTGTGGTGGTTGAGGTAGAGGGCAGGTCATGCAGTCCAAATCTCCACCTTGATTGTTACTTAAAAGTGCTTCCTTCCTCTGAAAATTTGCATTCTGGTAAGGAGATGGCCACAAGCTGCCTGGAAAAGTGGAAAGACGGGGTGATTTTTTAAAAAAGCGGGGCTACTTATTTATTCATTTGTTTTTAAAAAGCACACACATGATATCCAACAAAATCTATTTTAAATAGCATATAATAAAAGGTGGGATCTGCAATAAAATATTATTGCGTGGAGCTGTCCTTTGCAGATTTCCAGGCACTCGGTTCCATTCGCCCTGTTCAGAGGTATATCTAGGCTCCCTTGTGCCCTTGACAAGGAGCTGTGTCGGCGTGCCTCCATCCCTGGCACCCTTGGTAAGGATGGCCCCCACTCTAAGGCAAAGTGGAGAGGCATGATTGTTGCATGCACCCCCCAGGCATGTTCCTTTGGCAGGGCCCAGCTTGATGAACCCTAGGTACGCCCATACCCCTGTTTGAGCCCAAATGAAGAAAACAAGTCAATGGACCAACAACAGCAGCAAGGAAGAGGATGTGGCCGTGGTGAGACCCCTCGAACCATCGTGCGCAAAAGCTCTTCAAAAAAAATTAAAATAAAATTGGGCCAGCACTGTACTGACTAGAATTGGTGTCATTTCAGGGCATTTCATGGGGAAGAAGAGTATGCTGAGCTCTCCTCATGTCCAGTCTGCATTCTCAGAAAGTGCAGAGACCAACAGCACCCCCAAGGCCTTCAGAGAGGGGATGAAAGACCTGATGATGAGCGAACTTCTTAAAATACTCCTGCAAGAGAAGCTGCTGGAGGAGAAACGAGGGAAGCGTGATCCCAATGACCAGGTGAGCACCATCCTCTCTAGATGTCCTGAAGGGAATGAATGTGGTGGCTAGTGCCCAGTGGGACTGGTGGCACAGAAGACTAGGGGGCTGACAGTAGAGCCAGTGATAGGATCATAGTATGGTAGAGTTGGAAGGGACCCTGAGGGTCATTTACTCCAACCCCTGCAATGCATGAACCTCAACACGTGGCCCCCAATCCATTTTGAAGCCATACCTGACCCTGCCTAGCTTTGCAAATGTGCTAGCAATTTGATTGCTGCACCAGGTGGAGCCAGAGCCAATGGCAGGCAGAGCCAACTAATTCTAGTCTCATTTTGGAAACAGGACTGCCTGTGAAATGTGGTCCATGTTTGAGTTAGTTAACTGTGCTCAGACCATTGTTTGTCGCAGACAGTGTTTTTTCCCCCTTTAAAAGTGTTTAGGAGTACAGTGGTACCTCGGGTTAAGAACTTAATTCGTTCTGGAGGTCTGTTCTTAACCTGAAACTGTTCTTAACCTGAAGCACCACTTTAGCTAACGGGGCCTCCCGCTGCCACCACCGCGCAATTTCTGTTCTCATCCTGAAGCAAAGTTCTTAACCCAAGGTAATATTTCTGGGTTAGCAGAGTCTGTAACCTGAAGCGTGTGTAACCTGAAGTGTATGTAACTTGAGGTACCACTGTACTCTCATTTTTACTCAAGAAAATCACCATTTTATAGTTCAAATCAAGGAAAATAAATACAGTAAATGGACAAAAGTACAGAGATTCACAGAATGTTTAGGGGTATGCGTACCTCTGCGTCCCTCCAGGAAAAAAGCAGTGGTTGCAAACACTTGTGCACTGCATTGCAGCCATCAGAGGAAACTATGTAAGGAATCTGTAGGAAAGGAATAAAGTCGGTGTCTGTATTTTATATATTAATGTCTTCTCAATGTGTTTCCCTTGGTCCTCCTCCTACTGTAGAGAGCACACCAGCAGACCAGCATGGCAAGGATCCTGCTGGCATCAGTGGTGGTAGAGATAGCTCTGGGGAAACCCCCTCCCCTTTTCTGACACTGGGATTTAATTGCATCCCGGAGTGGGGATTTGACTGTCAGGCCAAATCCTTGCCTCTTCCAAGTTTATCAGGTGGGTGGAGTCAGTGCTTCCTAGGTTCCTCCAGCTATTTCTTGTGGGCTGGTACCAGAACCTCTCTCCCTTTAATGCAGTTTGGCTTTGTTGCACAACATCTCCCGCTTGGGCTAGAGAGCTCTCCAAGGTCCTGAAGCCCACCCAGGTGCCTGATCTCAGGGATCACCAGATCCTTGCTGCTCATCGCTCTCTGGTCTAGGTAGGTTCACTACCAGAGAGGTCTTAGTGTAATAAACCCCATTTCAGTGCAACAATTTGATGTCATTTTTTTACGTGAAGGGGATGCGGGTGGTGCTGTGGGTTAAACCACAGAGCCAAGGACTTGCCGATCAGAAGGTTGGCAGTTTGAATGCCCGCGATGGGGTGAGCTCCCGTTGCTCAGTCCCTGCTCCTGCCAACCTAGCAGTTCGAAAGCATGTCAAAGTGCAAGTAGATAAATAGGTACCGCTCCGGTGGGAAGGTAAACGGCCTTTCCGTGCACTGCTCTGGTTCGCCAGAAGTGTCTTAGTCATGCTGGCCACATGACCTGGAAGCTGTACGCCGGCTCCCTCGGCCAGTAAAGAAAGATGAGCGCCGCAACTCCAGAGTCATTCACAACTGGACCTAACAGTCAGGGGTCCCTTTACCTTTACCTATTTACCTGAAGATGTGGGTGGCGCTGTGGTCTAAACCACAGAGCCTAGGACTTGCCGATCAGAAGGTCGGTGGTTAGAATCCCCGTGACAGGGTGAGCTCCCGTCACTTGGTCCCTGCTCCTGCCAACCTAGCAGTTCGAAAGCACGTCAGAGTGCAAGTAGATAAATAGGAGGGAAGGTAAACAGCATTTCCATGCACTGCTCTGGTTTGCCAGAAGTGCCTTAGTCATGCTGGCCACATGACCCGGAAGCTGTACCAGTGGCGTAGCGTGGGGGGTGCAGGGGGGGCCAGCCGCACCGGGCGCAACATCTGCGGGGGGCGCGCTCGCACTCGCAGCTCTCTGCCCCTACCTGGCTCACTCACTCTCTCAGGGGGTAAGGGTTTCTTTAACTAATCTAGTGGAAGAGACTCGAGTGCAAAAATCCACGGGTTAGGGGGCACAAATTACTTGCCTTGCCCCGGGTGCTGACAACCCACGCTACGCCACTGAGCTGTACACCGGCTCCCTCGGCCAGTAGAGCGAAATGAGTGCCGCAACCCCAGAGTTGTCCGTGACTGGACCTAATGGTCAGGGGTCCTTCTACCTTTTATTTACCTGAAGGCCTCAGAAGGGTGGCTGTCATCCTTCTAACACTGGCTGACTTACTAAACGGATGAGATCATGTCACTTCCTTCCATAAGCAGAGCAAGTCAGGGAGCCCACACAGTCCAGGAGGGGGCAAAACCCACTTTAGATGTCCAAGGTGGTGATGGAGTAGCTATACTTTTCTCTCATCAGTGGGCAAGGCCAGTTTGCTTTCTATTATGTTGAAGTTCTATTATGTTCTATTATGTTGAAGTGTAAGCTACTGATGTCTGTGTTTTTCGTTACAGGAAATACCTTTCTTCACAAAGTACCTGGCAAAATACATTTAAATGGATGAACTGAGGAAAACACCACAGACTTGGGGGAAAGCGAGCTCCTGAAGGGCTGTTCCCAATGAAAGCATCAAGAATTGTAGTGTAAAATATCAAATTTATAACTGTAATCCTAATACTGACCTCCCCCCCTTCCTCTGAAGAACCAAGTATTGACTGTATAGAAAATTCCTGGCATTTCCTTGTGCTGCAGCGGCTGGTGGAGGAGGCATGGTGAATAAATGTCTCTCTTTGCACAGGTGAGAGGATTGTTTTCAGTCCGCAGTGCATCACTGTGTGCAGCAGCAGAAAGCAAGCAGCCACAGAAGGGCTAGCTCAGAAAGGGATGGAGAACCAGATGTGATTGGGCTACAACTCTCACCATCCCCAATTACTGGCTATACTCTCTGGGACTGATAAGTGCTGCAGTCCAAGGAGATATGGAGGTTTCACATCTGCGAAAGAGAGTACTGCAGAACTTAGTCTGTTCTAAGTTGTTGACAGCTGCTGTTGACAGAATGGACTGGTCTGCAGAGGGAAGAAGGGCCATTTCTGGAGGACATGAGACACCTGTTTGGGAGACAAACCCTAGCAGTGGAACCATAGATGGCCCAATGACCCAGGCAATGGGTGGTCAGATGGGTAGGTTCAGGTACCTCACCCATCTCTGCCAGTGCCTCCTCAGTCAGGGTATCTTTCATATTTCTCCTCTGCAGCCATGAATCTAGGAGTCATTGGTCTGCTTGCTGACAACAGCTTTCAGATCCCACAATGCAGTGCAAGTAAACAGATTAATTCTACACCAAATAATTCTACACTCGAATCCCTTAACCTGCATTGCAGACCTCTAATGGGTGCTTTGTGGATGTTTTCCGTGCGAGATTCCAACTGCTCCTGTGTGCACTTCCATATTTAAAGTAATAGGTCCTAATATTTCTTTAATAGCATATGCATCATTTGATAAGAGTTGCACTGCTTTACTGCTTGAGTAATATACAATAGGCCACACAGTCAGTTGTCGCTTTGGTTGGCAATGTACCTCAATAGTCCTGCTATGCATGCAGCTAAGAGACCCTCAAGGTCTCTCCTGTTTCCAAGGATGCTCTCAGGTATGGAGGGCTGATGACCACTTCTCCTTCCTTCTCCTGCTCCACCCTGGCTCAATGTATCATAACCGAAGGCCAGAGCCATTCCCACATCTTATTCCCTTCTAATATAGGAAGCTACAGTACCTTATACCAAATCAGATCATTGGACCTTCTAGCTCACTAATGTCTATTGTGACTGCCAGTGGCTCTCCTAGGCTTTAGGCAGGGGGCTTTCCCAGCCCTAACTCCCAATTCCAGGGATTGAACCTGGGACCTTCTGCCTGCAAATCAGATGTACTGCTACTGAGCTGTTGGCAAACATAATAGGAAATGCCAACCATGTGTCCAAGAGATACCTTGATACCCGAGTAGTGATGGGGAACCTGTGGCCCTCCAGATGTTGTTGGATGCCAGCTCCCATCAGCATTGTGGGCATGGTCAATAGTCAAGAGACACTGGATGTCATAGTCTAGCATCACCTAGAGAGCCACACGTCCCCGCCCTACTGCTGCTCCTGAGAGATATCTGAGCCTTGCTGGAAGTCATGCCACAGCTGCCTTGATGGCTCAGACAGATCAGATGATCAAGCAGGAAACTTGGTTGCCCTTGATCACCCCAGATACCTCTTCTTCCCTTGGTGAACCTTCCTCCTTGCCTTGTTTGAAGTGAAAATTCAGGTGCATGTGTGCATGTGTAGAATGTAGTTGAGAACCTCTGCAGAAGACCACCAAAGGTTTGGGGAATCTTTGGTCCTCCGTATGTTGCTGAACTACCACTCTCATCAACCCCAGCAAGCATGCTCAAAAGCTATGGGAGTTATGGGAGTTGTAGTTCAGTAACATCCAGAGAGCCAATATCCCCCCTGCATTTGATCTAGCGGAAGCTGTGGTGCTTAAGGATAAGAAATCCAAAGAAGCAAGCAAAGGCATGGCTCTCCTGCTCTCCCATTCCAACGCTTAAGCCACAACCACTGCAGTGGTGCACATAATCTTAACGTACTTCGCAAAGCGGGGAGAGCCAACCTGGTAGCCTCTAGCTACTGTGGACTCTTAACTCCCATCTGCCTCAGGCAGCCTGGCCACTGGCCACAGATTGGGGGAGTTGTAGCCCCAAACTCCTAGATGGCACCAGGTTGGCTAACCCTGGTTTAAAGTAGCCTGAGTCCAGTTGACCCAGCTTGACCATCAAAGGTGTAGGGAGGGGGAATGGGGGCAGCTCACCCCGGGTGTCATCGCTGAGGGGGGGTGACACTGGGCTCGCCACCCGCCCACAACTCCCAAGCCTATCCCGAGCCGCTGATGGGGGGGCGGGTGACAAAAAAATTCCACACCGGGTACCACCTGACCTTGCTACACCTCTGCAAACTATACAGAATTGCATCAGGAATGGTACCTTATAAACCACGAGTGGAAAACCTGTGGCCTTCTAAATGCTTGAACTACATATTCAATTTCCCCTGACCATTGGGCTCTGCTGGCTAGGGCTGATGGGAGTTGGAATTCAATAATGTCAGAATGGCCACAGGCAACTCATGCGGGGGTATAAACCAGCCTTCCCCAACCTGGTGCCCTCTGTGCGTTTCAGACTACATTTTGGGGAAGGCTAGAACGAACAAAAACGCTCCAATTGAGTATCAAAACAGAAGCACCGGTACAAATATTTCCAAGGTACAAACCTCATGATGCGTCACCCAGACACATTGACATACAACACAAATGGCTTTTACAATTTCATTAACAAGTCAGTTTACTACACAGAAACACAAAATGTAACATCAACGAGCTCCGAAAGGGCCTTTCCTGGGATGCACCCACTGCTTTTGAAGTGCCACATGGAGGCTGCTGCTAAAAGAGAGCTGTGCAGAAGTCTGAGATGCTTAGGGATCAGTCAAGGTGCAAGAGGGTTCAGTTCCACATCCTGTGTGAGTCTTGAGAGCTACTTCTGACATTCAGCTTGGTGGCTTTTGTCTCCCACCAAGAGCAAAACAGCAACACCTGCTTTATATACGTTGGTTTAGGCACATTTTCCAATAATTTTTTGTTGCTCAGGTGAGGGGCTGCACAAGGGGTGGGGAATCTTTGGCCCTCCAGTTGCTGAACTAGAGATCTCGCACTGATCCCAGCCAGCAAGTATTCTGAGTCTTGTCCATTCACCTAACAGCCCTAGCTTAACAGAACCCTTCCTTGCAGCCTGCCTCCTCTTCTGGACTCAATTGTCCTCTGCCTGTAACTTCTCCATGCTAATCCCTTGGTTGGTGGCCATGGAGATGGACCCATCAGGGCAAAAGGGACACTACTTCAACTGCAGTCTGCTCTTGGCTGGGTCCCCCTTCCCATCCACCTCAAGGAGCACCACCAGCTCCTGGCCTCAGGGTTGTTTTTGGGACTCGGCATGGAAGCAGTTGGCTTTGCCTAACATTAGCTTTGGCTCTACTGCAGACTCCCCTGCTTCCTGCCTTACCAGTCTCACTGGGCATCAGCCACCACTGGTTGGAGGCATTACCGAAACAAAACAAGCAAAGTGCTTTCCGGTTGTTCTCCAGACTTAATAAAAACAAGGTTGCTGAACTGCAGCTGCCGAAGGCTGTGGGCAGCGAAGAAGCCCAGCTTCTAGCTGCCCCTTTTCAGGATCAGTGCATAGGACAGAGTCATTCTTCTCTACTGGCTATGCCAGGGCAGATCACAACCAATGTCCCTGTTGGAAGAACAGGTCCGGAAGGTCCCACCACAAGCTTCGCTCTAGCTGTCCATGATGGTCAGCCTCAAATTGGCTGGCGGAGGAGCTGCCTTCGTTCGAGCATAGTGGGGGTTAATATACACTTCTCCTAGCATCCCCTCTTCCTCCTCTTCATCCTCACACAGGTCAAAGAAGGCTTTTAGGAGGTCAGGGCAGGTGTAGTGAAGCGTTATCACCACGGCTCCGATCAGGAAGCAGAGCAGCCCTGGAAAACACAGAGACGGACAATCAGTTAGTGAACCAAAGACAGACTTTGTTGCTGGCGAGGAAGGAAGCTGGAATGGCATCCATTGATGAATTCATGCTTGTTTTCATGCTCAGTTTAATAAAGTTGAGAGTTTGTAGCAGTGGGTGGGGAACCTCAGGCTCAAATTAAGTTCCTCCAGGTCTTCCATAACATCTCCCCCTTACCAGCATTGTACCCTTCTCAAGCACTTTTGCTTGGAACTCTGATCATTATTATTATTATTTTGCTTGCCTGGATACCTTGTGCTCTTTATATGTTAATTCTTTGATCCCCAGTATTCACTTCCAATGGTTGACAGTCTATACTTGGTAATAGTCCCTCCCCCCAAAAGATAATAAACACTGAGTTTTATGTGTCAACAGACAACCATGAATTCTCTGCAAGGACCCCCCATCCAGAGCTCTGTGCAACAATAGGGTGCCCATCCACATAACTACATGTGCAAGTAGACTCACAAGAGACCATTTGCATGGTCCATGGTGACAGCAACCAACACTGGTCCAGCGCTGCTTGTGTCATTCTCAATTCAGTGTTGGAACGGTGCACACATGCTGTAGGGTGCACAATTCCTATATCATTCAGTGTGGTGCAGTGGTTAGAGTTGGACTAGGGTGGCTTGGGTCCAAATACCCACTTGGTGGTGAGGTTCACACCGTGGAGGATGCTACTACCCTTTGGGACTGGTAGGGTGGAAGCCGGAACACATGGCTGGCAGAGACAACTCATTAATAATAATAATTATTATTTATTATTATTACAGTGGTACCTCTGGATACGAACGGGATCCATTCCGGAGCCCCGTTCGCATCCTGAAGCAAACGCACCACTTCTGCGCATACGCGTGATGTCATTTTTGAGCATCTGCGCATGCGCAAGCGGCGAAACCTGGAAGTAATGCGTTCCATCACTTCTGGGTCGCCACGGAGCGCAACCTGAAAATGCTCAACCTAAAGCAACTTCAACCCGAGGTATGTCTGTATTATTATTATTATTATTATTATTATTATTATTATTATTATTCAGGCTTTGCCTCCTCTGCCTCCTCCTCCCTGCTGAATTCTGAAAGGGGAAACACAGATTGAGGAGGAAAATGGCAGCAGAGCCTTCCCCTGGACTGGTCATCAATGAAAAGGCAGGCAGCGGGGGCTGTTTGGGGGGGCAGGCAGAGGTTGCTCTGAACCCCAGCCACTGAAGATAAGCTCAGGTTACCAGACGTCCCCATTTCCAGGGGACAGTCCCTGGATTTACAAACCAGTCCCCATCCAAAATCCATTGAAGTTGAAAAGTGTCCCTGGATTCATTGAAAAAAATCTGGTAACCTTAAGATAAGCTCACCTGTGGCCAGCGTCAGCCAGAAGGATGCGCCATAGGCGAGTTGCAAGGAGGTGGGGCCGAACTGGATGACGCAGGAAGCACTCCTCCCGGTGGAGAAAGAGAGCAGAGCAAAGATGAGGAAGCTGCCTGTGACGAGGGTCATGTAGCCGCCATAGACGGGGACCGGCATGGAGAAGAGCATGTTGGAGACCAGCCAGGCGCAGAAGGCAACCCTGCAGGGAAGAGACAAGCGCTCGCCATTTATCACAGCTCAGAGAAGAGACCCGCTCCACGGGCAGAAGGTCAACCGGTTTAGGGGCTGCATGGGGAGGCGAGGGTTTTCACGCTGCGGGACAGAGAAGACCCAACGCAGCATCTGCGGTGGAGGGAATTCTCGGCGCAATCCATTGCGCCACAAAGTGACTGGCAACCCAAAGCTGGATGTTGGGAGATTCAGGGGGCAGGCAAAAGAGAAGGCCTTCTTCCTGTGCAAATGCCTGGTTGGAGGATGGATGGCGGGTTATGGATTGAGGTTGAATCCTGACAAGACAGAAGTACTGTTTTGGGGGGACAGGGGGCGGGCTGGTGTGGAGGACTCCCTGGTCCTGAATGGGGCAACTGTGCCCCAGAAGAACCAGGTGCACAGCCTGGGAGTCATTTTGGACTCACAGCTGTCCATGGAGGCACAGGCCACTTCTGTATCCAGGGCAGCTGTCTACCAGCTCCGTCTCGTACGCAGGCTGAGACCCTATCTGCCCACGGACTGTCTCACCAGAGTGGTGCATGCTCTAGTTATCTCCCGCTTGGACTGCTGCAATCCGCTCTATGTGGGGCTACCTTTGAAGGTGACCCAGAAACTACAACTAATCCAGAATGCGGCAGCTAGACTGGTGACTGGGAGTGGCTGCCGGGACCACATAACACCGGTCTTGAAAGACCTACATTGGCTCCCAGTATGTTTCCAAGCACAATTCAAAGTGTTGGTGCTGACCTTTAAAGCCCTAAACGGCCTTGGCCCAGTATACCTGAAGGAGCGTCTCTACCCCCATCATCCTGCCCAGACGCTGAGGTCCAGCGCTGTGGGCCTTCTGGCGGTTCCCTCACTGCAAGAAGCCAAGCTACAGGGAACCAGGCAGAGGGCCTTCTCAGTAGTGGCACCTGCCCTGTGGAACGCCCTTCCATCAGATGTCAAAGAGATAAACAACTACCTGACCTTTAGAAGACATCTGAAGGCAGCCCTGTTTAGGGAAGTTTTTAATGTGTGACATTTTAATGCATTTTTAACCTTTGTTGGAGGCAGCCCAGAGTGGCTGGGGAGACCCAGCCAGATGGGTGGGGTACAAATTATTATTATTATTCTTCATGCAGTGCATGGTTAAACTATGGAACTCGCTGCTGCAGGAGACAGCAGTGACGGCCACCAACTTGGATAGCTTTGAAAGAGGACGGGCCAAATTTGAGGAGGAGAAGGGGGCTCTTGATGGCTCCCAGCCACAGTGGCTGTGCTGTGCCTCCACGGATAGAAGCAGTAGAGCTTCCAAATTCTGAACAGGAGCCAGTGGTTAACAGTTAGAGTGTCAGACTAGGGGCTGGGAGGCCAGGGTTCGAATCCCCACTGGGTCATGAAGCTCCCTGGGTGACCTTGGGCCACTCACTGCCTCTCAGCCTACCCTACCTTGCAGGGTTGATGTGAGGATTAAATGGGGGAGGGGGAGAACTATGGAAGCCACCCAGAGCTTCACAGAGAGAAGGTTGGGATATAAATGCAACAAATAATACTTTCAGTTGCTGGGAACCTCAGGAGGGGAGAGGGCTCGTGGGATTGGGGCCTGTTTGCGGGTTTCTCTCAGGCATCTGAGAGAGAACAGGATGCTGGACTAGATGGGCCAGGGGCCTGATCCTGCAGGGCCCTTCTTATATTCTCATGCATTATCCTGCACAACAACATTCTGGTGCAAAACATTTCATGGCTAAATTGACTTTAGACTTGACGCCACCTTGGAAACAGGCCTCAATTCGCAGCATCTCCATCCAAAAACTCAGCTAAGCAGCTTCTGGAAAGATCTTCTGTCTGAAGCCCTGGAAGCAGAGCCTACCAGCAAGTTGGCCTTCCTCACCCCAGTGCCCCACCCCTGATGCTCCTGCGACTCCAGCACCCATCACCCCCGACCATTGGTCAGGCTGGTGGAGGCTGATGTCTGATCACTTCAAGCTCCTTTCAAAGTGCAGTGCAAAGCAGCTCTTTGAAAGGGGCTTCTGGAGACCCCCATGGGCAAAATAATGTGACTTGGTGATTGGGGGCAGGGTTCCACCCAGAAGGCAATGGGGAGATAAGAGCCTGGGCTTGCTGGTCTCAAACGGTCCCCCCCCCCATCCTGGTGAGGTCCCCCCCCCATTCAGGAGCCCGGTGAGTCCCACTCACCACAGGGTGGCTGACGCATAGTGCCCTGCCATTCTGTAGAGGTGATGGAGGCCGCAGGGGCTGTCCCCAGTGAACTTTTCTGCCACGTAGAGGATGGGGCTGGGCAGGCCGTGCTCCAAGCCTTCGTCGAAGTCGTTGTCATAGTTTGCCCCAAACCACCAGGAGAAATGCTCGTTGTAGTTGATCGTTTCATTGAGCTGTTCTACGGGGCTTCCTACAGAGGCAAGATTGGTTAGTGTCCAAGGAAGGGCATGAAGCGGTAGCCAGGGGCAAATGAAGGCGTCGTGACACCCAGGGCGGGACGTTGCTACGTAGGGCGCATGTGTGGCGTTGCTACGTACGATGCATGCGTCGTACGTAGCGACGGCACACATGCGCTGTACATAGTGGTTTACCGCCGCTCCAGCGCCATACGGAGGGTGCGGGGGTCCTCTCATGCGGCTGTAGCGGCGACAGAGGGATCCCAACGCCGTCTGTATGGCGTTGGAGCGGTGCCGGCGGCAAACCGCTATGTACAGCGCATGTGCGGTGTCGCTACATACAGCGCATGTGTGCAATGCCACACATGCTCTATACATGTGGCAAACTGCTATGTACTGCAAATGTGCGGCATCGCTACGTACAGCGCATGTGTGCAACGCCGCACCTGCACTATACATGTGGCAAACCTCTATGTACTGCGCATGTGTGGCGTCGCTATGTACAGTGCATGTGTGCAACGCCACACATGCGCTATACATGTGGCAAACCTCTATGTACTGTGCATGCGCGATGTTGCTATGTACAGCGCATGTGTGCAACATTGCACATGCGCTGTACATAGTGGTTTGCCGCTGGTGCTGGGATCCTCTGCTCACGGTTGCAGCCGAGAACGGAGGATCCTCCACAAGGGGCTGCAGTGGCGTGATGGCTGCTCACACCGCCGTGGGGTGCCTTCTTGTCATCCCCCCCAGACATAGCACCTGGGGTGCACCCCACCACACCCCCGTTGCAACTCCACTGGCGGTCCCGTAAATACTGTAGCTGGAACTGATAGGACTGTGAAATGTTGGAGCACATCTGGAAACACGCTGTTAGGACTCCCCCCCCCCGTGTTGGCACCTCAGACTCACCAACTAGAGTGACGTTGAGTCCTGCCAGACCGACGTGCAGCCCAATCTCTGCATGGACCTTAGCTGGGCTGAAAGACTTGTAGGTGGTGATCGCTGTTCCCTGTGCCCTCTCCCAGTCAGAGGTGAAGTGGACAGCTGCAAAGGTGAGGAAAGTCTCTGTGAGTGTCGGGCGCCAAAGAGTGTTGCCCGCCCTCTTTTGGGATGGTGGTTCCCCCAGAATTGACCCCTTTAGTTCCACACACCACCACCCTCTTCAATCACAGATTAGTAGCCGAGGTTTGCAAATGTGGGTCAGGTCAACACCACACTTTTAAGGCACACGGCTTCTCACAAAGAATCCTGGGAAACTGCTGTTTTACCCTGCGCAAAGCTGCCATTCCCAGCATCCTGAACATACTACAGTTCCCAGGACTCTTTTTGGGGAGGGGACTTTAAATCCACAGCGTGGATGTGAGCACAAACGAAGGCCAAAGACAGAGAGGTTTGCTGAGGTCAGATGGAGAAGGGGACTCACCAACGATGACCCCTCCGATAAAAAGGCTTGCGATGACCCGGAAAAGCCAGTACAGCCTCTGCCAACAAAAGAGAACAGAAAGTCAAAGGGGGGAAGAGGATTTGCTTTTCACTTGGGTTACAATTACATCTCCCTTCCACACCGCTCCCGCTGCCACCCAGCCCTACTTGCCATGGGGGTGGGGAGGAGGGTTTGCAAGGGGCCGGGTGGGAAGGTTCCAGGGGCCATATCTGGCCCATGAACTGGTGGCTCTGCATCGCTGCTTTAAAGCAACAGTTTTGGGAGAGAGTTCGGTTTTTAAACTGAGCTGCATCAGCAGGGTTGGTGTTCCCCTGAACTAAACTCCTCCTCCCCCAGCTGCTAATTAATTAATTAAAAGCATTTCAAACTGCTTCATATTTCAGAAAAAAAACACCACTAAGCCCTGCACAGCAAGTACAACATCCACTGAAACAAACCAATAACACAGAATAAAAACCATCTAAAAGCAAATAAAGCAAGTGATCAAGAGAATTCAGACATGTAAAATGGGGTCCAATCTTAGGGATCAAAGAGGATCTGGGCAAAAAGATGCCTGAAGGAACTGACAGCTGCTGCTTCAGGTATGGCAGAGGGGAAGGCATTCCACAGTACTGGGCAACAGAAGAAAAGTCCCTCTTTGGGGGTCCCCACCCTATAATGGTTTGCAAGGTGCATTGCAAAGTGTCGGAGGGATCTCAAAGGTCTATCCATACAGGGGCAGGCGGCCTTTAAAGTAACCCGGTCCTAAGCCACCCTGAATATGGGCCCATAGCTATTTGACAGCCAGTACAGTTCCCTCTGGGACGCGGGTGGCGCTGTGGGTTAAACCACAGAGCCTAGGGCTTGCCGATCAGAAGGTCGGCGGTTTGAATCCCTGCGACGGGGTGAGCTCCTGTTGCTTGGTCCCTGCTCCTGCCCACCTAGCAGTTCGAAAGCACGTCAAAGTGCAAGTAGATAAATAGGTACCGCTCCGGCGGGAAGGTAAACGGCGTTTCCGTGCACTGCTCTGATTCGCCAGAAGCGGCTTAGTCATGCTGGCCACATGACCCAGAAGCTGTACGCCGGCTCCCTTGGCCAATAAAGCGAGATGAGCGCCACAACCCCAGAATCGGTCACGACTGGACCTAATGGTCAGGGGTCCCTTTACCTTTACCTTTTTACAGTTCCCTCTACACAGGGGTAAGATATGTGTATCTGGGTGCTGTCAACCTGTCAATCATGTCCTGGAATATAGGCAGACATGATACTGATACCTGCATTTCCCCCCACCCTTCTGTGAGTTTAAGGGGTGGGGCTGGGGGGGTGAGATCAGGAAAATGCAGCAGGGGAGAGGAGATGGTTAAACACAGCCCCCACCAGCTTCATGACAGTAGGATGCTGAATTAAGAGTGTTGAATTAAGGCTGGACCTGGGTTCAAATCCCACTTGGCTACAAATCTCAGTCACTATCTCTCAGTCCGGTCTACTTCACAGGGCTGGGGTGAGGACAGAGCAGAGGAGAAGGGAGAACCTTTCGCACATGCTGCCTTGAGATCTTTGGAGGAAAAGGCAGGATAGAAATGTAGTTCTAAAATCACAGTAATAATAAATACAGTACACAGCATAGCACAGTGTCTGTCTCCCCCTGGTGGTCAAACTCCTGTGAATACACCATGCCAGTTCTTTTAGGGTGGGGGACGGGGAAGGAAATGTACTCCTGAAAAGGTTGATAAAACTACCAGGATTTTATTTTTTAATGTTTCCTTTCCATTTTAAGAATGTGACATCATACCTTTGTATTCTGGCTCTAACCACTGTGGAGACTGCCACTGAGTCTGCCTTCCCCACTCCCAGGGTGGACTTCGATAATATGGCACCCTGAGCGAGGCCAAAATTTGGCACTTTCCTCCTAAGTATTTATTTTCACCATAATTCCTTTTGGTACAGTTGCTTTTTTATGATTCTTCTCAGCAGGTATCCGTATTACAGTGGTACCTCTAGATACGAATGGGATCCGTTCCGGATCCCCATTCGCATCCTGAAGCGAATGTAACCCGCACCTGCGCAGGTCACCACTTCCACGCATGCGCGTGACATCATTTTGACCATCTGTGCATGCACAAGTGGCGCAACCAGAAAGCACTCAACCTGAAGCATATTTAACCCGAGGTATGACTGTATTATTAATTATTATTATTATTATTAATAATAATATTATTATGCACCCCCTCAGCTCAGCACCCTGTGTGAGAAACCTCCCGCACCACCCTAAATCCAACGCTGATCACTCCCTTTCCTTTCCTGCATAAACATTCACTCACAGTTGCATCATGCAGCTGCAAGTCTCTGTGGTTTTATGGTTTTCACACAAAGACAGGCACACCCACACACCGCCAAATAACTGAAGATAGTTGTGTCGTCGTATGGAGATGGTGCTATGCACAACAGGTTGTGAACACAGCTCCAAAGCCCTTTTCTTTTTAAATACTAATTCCTTCTAACAGCAAAGTCGGGTACCACCTTTCCTTCCTGCCACCCCTTTGGTGCCTCTCCTTTGCTCAAAATCACAGCCTCTCGAGGCTGCTTTTCATTCAAAACGAATGCAAATGTATTGCCGTTTCATTGCAGGGATCAATAATATGCTCTTCCGAGCACAAAGGGCGACACAGGGGGCTGCCTTTTGTCCAGGGGAGGAACGATCGCCGGGAGGAGTGCAGAGAGAAGAAACATCATGGTGCACCTGTAGCAGCATGACTGGATGCAACAAAACATGTCTCTCCTGCGTTGGTCTCTGGTTTGATTTCACCCCTGAAGGCTCACTCCTCACAGATGGATGGCAACAACACTCTGACGCCGTATTATCAACACTGGTTGGCAACAGCTTCCCAGCATTTTCAGGCGTGACTCTCTCTGAGCCAAACTAGGAGTAGCCAGGAAGTGAACCTGGGACCACCTTCTAGCAAAGCAGATGATCTACTACTAAGATTTGGTCCTTCTTCAATAACAGTACTCACCGCTCTGCCCCGAATTCCAGGAAGGATGAGCAGGAAGCTGAAGGCAATTACAAGGAAGACAATAATTACAACGATGGTATCCACATCAAAGACAAAGGGCTTCCTGGGTTGGGGGTAAAAGGGATAGATGCCATCAAAGAGCGTCATTCTGAGGCAGGATACCTGCAAGACAGAGGTGAAAGGTGAGTCAAATGCTGCCCAGATCCAGAGCTGCCGAGGCCTCATGCGCCTTTGGTCCCATGCGCAGAGACCCTTTATGTCTCAGGTGGGCTAATTTGGCCCACCTAAAATACTGTTGCAAATCTGGGATAACAGAGTTTGGTGTGCAAAGGGCACCCATGATGGCCAGTGTTAGTGAATGTTAGAAGATAATTCATGGTAGAATTTAGATAATATTTGGGAGTGCTGAAGGGAAGATGCCTGGGAAGACAAAAGTCATAGAAGCAAGTCATTAACCCTTCAGTAGAAACCATCAACCAAGCAGGCAAGCTTGGTGAGGGGAGGAGGTTGCCAAAGTGATGGGAGCAAGGGTGCATGATGTGACACAGAAAAAATGTTGTGATTTAAGAAACAGGTCTGGAGAAGGAGTGAGCAAGACAGAGGGAGGAGCTGTTTGGAGCAGCGGTTCTTGGGAAGAACGAAAGTGGGCCAAATTCCAGGCAGAGGCCAGGCAGGGAGGATCACCTTGGCAGGCTGGGACAGAGGCACAGAGATGGCAGGCAGGATGCCTTGGACTCGGGTGCTGCACTGCTCTGGGGAACGAGCCCCTTTTGAGATGTACCGTAATACTCCAGCCAGCGGTTCTCAACCTGTGGGTCCCTAGATGTTGTTGGACTACAACTCCCATCATCCCTGACCACTGGTCATGGTGGCTAGGAATGATGGGAATTGTAGTCCAACAAATATCTGGGGACCCACAGGTTGAGAAACAGTGCTCCAAACTCTCTCCACAGTAGACCCAGATATAAATATGTGTACAATAAACTATATTTCTTAAAGGCACTGCTGTGCCTCGATTTCCCAATAGAAACCCAACCCGGGGTGAGCGCCTGGAACCCCCTGGAATCCTGCGATGGCTTGGCAGAGTTTGGAGGGTGGCGCACAAGCTCTGTAGCAATATGACGTGACTTGGAGAGATTTTGCAGAAGAGGGCAACTGTATGTTTAACTCTTATGCCACCTTTACTCCAAAGAGCTTGAGGTGTGTCTCCCTTAAAAACCCCCAAAACAAACAAACTTAACAGCCCTGCAAGGTAGGTTAGCTGAAAAATATAAACTTCAACAGGCAGCCTGGGCAGATGGCCAGCCAGTCAAAGAAAACAGAAGTCACGCCCATCAGTCACGGACAAAGAAAAAGGCATGGCTACTGTCCCTGCCCCCACCACCTGCCCCATGGCAAAAGGTTGGGCGGCCCTTCAAATCGGCTGAGAAATGTTTGCGGAGCAACAACAGGTTTTAGCTCCATCACTGACTGTTTCTCCAGCATCCTACAAAGTTTTTGATCATCTTCCCACGCTTTTGGAGAGGAAGCCTGGGTCTGGGAAGCGCCTGGAGTTGTGAGAGTCAGTGTGATGGTTTTAACATCAGATTAGGACCTCAGACTTTGAAATAAGGAATATTATGGAGAAAGGAACTGGAAAGAGAGGTGTGTGTGTGTGTGTGTGTGTGTAATTGTGTGCCACATCATATAGCCCCCTCATGCTGAAAAGAAAAAGGAAAACCCAATGTCACCTGACCTCCCTAGTTTTGAAGCACACAATAATATACAGGACACATGACAGCCGCTTTAATTTTGAGAGCTAGTTTGGGGTGATAGTTGGGCTGGAACTGGGGAAATCAGGTTCAAGTCTCCACCCAGCTATGACAGCAACTGGCCTTAGGCAGTCACTGCCACTTGGTTTCGCCTACCTCACAGGGTTGTTGTAGTGATGAAAGAGGCCACCGTGAGATTGTTGTAGGAAGAGTGGGATGAAAAAGGTAGCAAACAGAGCTACACAGGAGGTCAGCTACTCAGATCTCCCACATCCTCGCTGGACATTTAAAGCACGTGTGCAGCTTCTCCCAAAGACTCCTGGGAACTGTAGTTTGATAAGGGCACTGGGATATATAACTGAGGGATAAACTACAGTTCCCAGGGTTCTTGGGGGGGCAGAGCTTTAAATGTATGATGAGGACCTAACACAAAAAAGTGTGTGTATGCTCATTTACACCCAAGTAACAGTGGGGCAGTGGCAGATGACGACTCGAAAGTTAACCCTTCCTGCTCACATCTGCCCCCACCCTTCAATCTGAAGTTAGCGCAGGTAGCAAACAGTCAATACTTAAGAGGAAATCTGCTTGCCCAAACGGGCATTTTGGCGATCAGGACGCGCGACCAACGGCATTAAAAGCGGGGAGTGATATTCCCCTACCCCAGCCCAGCGGTAGCCAACGTGGCGCCCGCCTTCACCGCTGAACTACATCTCCCATCATCCTTGACTACTTGACGCGGTGGAGGCTCAGGCGCTGATGAGAGTCCAACAGCTTTTGCAGGACACCCCTTTGCCTCACCACCCTCTGGGGAAGACCCACCCGCGTCTGGAAAATCTGAGGCTGCAGACCGCGGGGGGGGGGGGGCAGCGGTACCGCAAAATAGAGACGCCGCTGCTTGTCCTCCGTGCCGCGGCCACGCGGAGCCAGAAACGCGCGACGCCCCACCGCGCCCTGCAGGGTTGGGCAATGGGAAATGTTCGACGGGCGGGAGCCGCTCAAGAAAAGCCGGTCGCCTTAAGAACACAAGAAGAGCCCTGCTGGGCCAGCCCAAAGGGCAGGTCCCTCTCTGCCAGGGCCAAAACAGACGCCTGTGAGGAAGCCCTCGAGCAGGGCACGAGCGCCGCAGCGCACTCCCCAGCCCCGGGTAGGCACCGATCCTCGAGGTAATAGGGAGCCATTGCGCTTGGTAGCCCGCCGGTAAATGGGCCGGCAAGCGGCTTATAGAAAGGGAGGCGGGCTGCAGACGTATGAGGCGCGCGTCTTCCCCTACGGCAGAGCGCCGTTTTTCAAAGGAGAGGGTCGGGAGCTTAAAAACACTCGGGAAATGTACTGATGGGCACCCACTGCCCCTAAGGCTCCCTGCTAGTGGCAGAAAAAAAGGGGGAGAGCGCTCTGCGCACGCTCAGAGACAAAACCTTCTATCTCCAACATATGGCTCGAAGGGAATCGCCCCCCCCCCACCGCGTCCCGTTTGGAGTCAAATTCACTTTTGAGAAAGGGGTTTGGCTGCCACCTTTGGAATCTCCCTGCATTAGTAGATCCCATGGGGATCTACTAACCTCTGGTGACGGTCAGCGGGCATCTGTGAACACTAAACATCTTGCGCATCCTGTGAACGCCCAGGGACACTCGCTTCTATTGCCCGCGTGAGGCTGGAGGGAGTTGAGCATGAAAAGCGGTTCAAAGGGATGGATTTGCTCTGCTTTACGGAATCACAAAGTTGGAAGGGAACCCGAGGGTCATCTAGTCCAACCCCCTACAATGCAGGAATTTCTCTTGGATCATACATGACAGGTGGCCATCCAACCTCTGCTTAGAAGTCTCCTTTGGAGCCTCAGTCTAGGGACCCTGGAGGTGGCGGCGTGGAGGAGAGACTTGCAGGGTCTTTGCCGTCTCCTCCTCCCTGCTCGGGCCCGTCCCGTCGGGCAAAGGCAAAGGCGCTCCGCGGCGAGCGCCCCCTTCTGCGCGGCCGTGAGCAGAGCTGCGCGGGAGACTTACCGGCGGGGCTTCGGCGGCGCCGTCTAAGCTGAGCGCAGAGCGGGCTGTGGGCGCCCAGCGCGGGGCGGCGCTCTTATATAGCGGCCGGGAGGGTCGCGTGCCCGCGTCATGCAAATGAGGCACTCGGCCCCGCCCCCGGTCCCTCCCTCCCCGCCCGGCTCCGACGGGACGGGCGGCATTCCGGACAGACGCAGGGGCGACGGTGGTGCGCGGACACCGGGGAGAGAGAAGCGTCAGCGGCGGTGGCAAGGACGACAGCAGCAGTAGGCGCAGCGGCTCAGGTGAGGTAGGCGAGGCCGGGGGCAGGACAGGGAGGGTGTCCGGGGCGCGGGGCGAACAGCAGGGTTGGAAGGAGCGGGCGAGAGGGGGAGACATTCACCTGGGAAAAGAAGGCAGCAGGTCGCCTCCTCGTCTGCCGCGAGGATCAAGCGTAGCTCTTTTTCGTTGCCCGAAGGCAAAGATCCCGAGAAAGGAAGCCGTGGGAAGTGCGCCCTGGAAACTTATTCTTAGGGAAACCTTCTCCCCCGCATCTGTGGGCTACTGAAGGTAATGGGGCCCTTTATGTGTGATATTTTAGGGCAGGCATAGGCAAACTCCAGCCCTCCAGATGTATGGGACTACAATTCCCACCATCCCTAGCTAACAGGACCAGTGGTCAGGGATGATGGGAATTGTAATCCCAAACATCTGGAGGGCTGCAGTTTGCCTATGCCTGTTTTAGGGAGCAGGCTAGCAGGCTCCCATTATTTACATCATAGGAGCCTACACAAAGCAAAACACTGTTGCTGTATGTAGGTTTTATTTTATTTGTTTTTTATCTTATATGTTTGAAATGTACATCCAGTTGTTTTTTTCTTTAATTTTTTGGGGGCCCTAGAGAGTGGGGCCCTAAGCTATAGCTTGTTTAGCTTATACATAAATCCGGCACTGCGCCCAGCACGCACACACACACAGAGGAACTTGCAGACTCTTAAGTCTTAAGGCAATTTTATTGCCTTCTACCTACCCATTGTTACTTTGGAAGGAAAAAGAAGCATGGCTAAGTTTCACCACTGGAGGACAGAATAACAGTGCAGGCGTTTTGTATATGATGCAGTCTGGAATTTCTACCAAGTGCCTGCGTTTACATGCACATCCATGCATATTAGGGATAGTCAGTGTAGGACTACAACTCCCATCAGCCCCTGCCATCATATGCCTGCCAGCATCTGGAGGACATCACACTGGCTTTCCTTAATATTTACTCTATTTGATGCCATCCTTTGGTCTACATACTATTCATTCAGACTTGGAATTCATGTATATGTGCCAATCACATTTCAGGATCAACCGTGACATGTGTTGTGTGTTGTGGTTCCCTTCCTGATTGCTTGGTCCAGCATGTAGCGCACTTTGACTGCTGCAGTGTAATTTTGGGGTGATTTTTGATGTGGGAAGCCCTTAGCTCAGTGGTAGAAAACATGCGCTGCATGAAGA